TTTTTTTTTTTTTTTTTTTCTTGTTTTTAAAATTAAATGGGGGGAGAGAGAGGGGAGGGGAAATTTTATATATATATATATATATATATATATATATATATATATATATATATATATATATATATATATATATATATATATATATATATATATATATATAATTCACAAATGGAAACTGTGTAGGATTAGCAGACACAATATTCTTCTCTTGGAACTTAATTTGCAATCAAATCATTGAGTTATACATAACATGAGACACTTCTACATTGACACGGGAGTGTCTGGTGGTATACATCTGTGTTATGTTTGGTCTATTCTTTCTTAACGTTAATAAGATATATTTGTGTGCTGCTGCCGCAGATGTATGACACTGACAGGTCGGGATACATCAGCAAGGAAGAATTGGCGTCAATGCTTAGAGTAACACTACCAACTAAAGTCTCCTCCTCAATCCCATGAAACAATTTCCAATGATCTAAAAGGAAACGGTTTACTTCTGCAGGCCTTGCCTGAGGATTGTCTCCCTGCTGATATTACTGAACCAGGGAAACTAGATGAAATCTTCGATCAGATGGATGCTAACAGTGACGGGAAGGTCACCTTTGATGAGTTCAAAGCAGCAATGCATAGAAATAGCTCTCTGCAAGATGTTGTCCTGTCTTCTCTGCGGCCAGTTTGACTCCCCATAATGAGAAGCAACAGGTGAGATGAACTCCATTGTCCACCTTGGCTCTCTATATCTGAGTGGTTCCGGACTGAGGGGCTGCTTTGGTGATTGCACCAAAGGGAGTGGGAGTAGAAGATATATTACTTTTACGTACTTCTAGTATAGTGTCTGTAGACTTTATTTTGTCACATGTTCCCTCAATTTATTAGAAGAAAAATGTTGGCTTAAAAATCCCACTTGTTCCTATAAGAACTCCATTGCAAAAAATAAAATTTAACACACTTGTAATAATCACATCATCTTTGAACTAGAACGTGTCTACAAGCATGCTGTTAAAATTTTATTTTGCATAGATACGTGTATAGATTTGGGTACCTAATGTTAGAGTTTGTTAGTATTTTAGATCCTTATTTTGGAGTTGGTAAGTTCTTTTTAGATCGCCTAATTGAAATAAAATTATTTGGAGAACCAAATCATTCCGAAAATAAATAAAAAAATTTCAAGAGTGAAGATAAAAATTCTTGAAAATTTAATTATCCTATGTCAATACTTTAGTAGTGAAGACAAAGACGCTGTGATCCTACAATTTTCTCTAGTACATTGAAGAGATTGAGAGAAAGTTTCTTATGTTAACGCGAGAGGAAATATAATAGACTCTAAGCTTAGATTTAGATTAAATCGAAAGAGAATTTGATTTCTGAATTTTATTATTTTATCATATGATGAAGAATTTGAGTGTCAAATCAGGTAATCCTACATTAAATATTTTGGATTTATGTATTATTGTTGGTTCCATTGAATATTATATTGATATCAATATCCTCATTGTTAATAAAGTGATATAAATGATCTGAGAGGATTATAGATTAAATAAAGGGGATTATAGATTCAAATAAAATGTCATTGAATATTTTTTCAAACCATAAAAATTTAATGAATGAAATTAGTTTCACTTTGGTTCAAAGGAACAAAAGAGAGTGTTCATTGAGGCTTAACAAAAACCTTGGAGGGATGTGCAGTCAAATCTAGAAAGATGAACTATATATATATATATATATATATATATATATATATATATAAAATTAAGACAAACTGTGTGAGTATTATTTGTCATTATATCATTGAGAATATATTATCTATAATATGTCACCTAGTTCAAATAAAAAATGAGCTAGATGAGCCCAAGTTCGAATGGGTATCATCTAAGATATGTTAAAATGACACTTATTACTAAAATTTAATTTATAATAATTGATTAAGTTGTTAAATGATACTTGTACTATTGAAGAGCTCAAAATTTTGATCTCTACCATATCAAATTTTACTTGGAAGATTAAACACATAATATTGCTTTTCTGGTCTTTTAATTAAATATGACCGAAGCCCAAAGGTGTGGGTGACAAACATAAATGCATAATGAAAGACTAGAAGATTATTATTCTTACTAGTTCTTTAATAAAAATAAAATAGTAAAAGACTCCAAGGAGTCTTCTGTTCATCAGCTTGAATGCATGAGGAAATCCACATTGGTTCTTATATATTAGTGCCTCTCTCCCCTTCTCTCTCACTCCAGTGTGTGGTATAAGTGGAGATTGATGCTTCAAAATCATGGAAAACCACTGTTGGAGTTCAAAGAGAGAATAGCTTTGATTTTGTCGTAATAGCATTTGTATCACTGTTAAAAAAGAACGTGTCATTGCTACTATTTTGACTTTCGATCAGATCTCAAGTCTGACTCCTAACTCAGCATTACCGCTCCTCAGTGGTCAACTACACAAACAGCGAGAAATGATTCAGATGGCCATAGACAGACATATGCCAAAAGCTGCTCGATGAAAGGTCTAAAGAATTAACGTAACCTATTTAGTTAGTGTCACTACAAAAACATTATTCCATACCGACACATCCTTAATTTACGCATGCAGTGGAAAATGATCAAAGAAAGAAGAGAGAGACGGCTTGATGTAATGTATGTTGAAAAAAATAAAAGATAAGAAAAATTATTGAAAAAGCTTTATTGAAAAAGTGAAGAAACTTAAATGTATTACCATGTCCCTTTCCTATTTATACGATTATGAGAAAGATTTCCCTCAATATAATAGAGGATTTCCCTCAACAGAATAAAGAGATTTCCTTGGAATCTTATCTACTATCAATGTAATACACATAAAGAAAAGAAGGATCATTCGCATAAATAATTGATGCAAGCCATTCGTATTATTATAAACGAGGATCAGCACGGAGTGATAAAACTACTATTATTATTGACTTTGGATTGAGATGGACTTGGAAGTCATATTTTAAGTAATCCAACAGACCAAACTAGTATTCATCTATAAATAGTCATTATGAATCCAATGCTTCAATTTTTAGGTTATCGATGATGTTATCCACACATAAACCTAACTAAAAAGAAGAAAACAGCAAAGAACTCAATCCACTTGGTTTAAGTAAAACATTGACTTAAAAGAAGAAAACAGCGGTACCGGTGCTGGTTCTTTCTGTATTGTTACGAGTCCCATTCATACAGCATGGTTCCAACTTCATGCACCTCTTTTGGTTCTATAAATACCCCCCCATCCATCCTCTCTCTCCCCATCGAGTGTTTGTGTTTGTGTTTGCATATCATCTGCCGTGAGAGGAATTGCTTCATAAGCTCGCTAATGGTGAGTGAGAGAGACGCTATATAGATACTCTGCCTCCACCGAAAGAATATAGCTTTGCTTCCCTTAGAGGGAGGCCTATCTATCTATGTAGTACTGCAGTTTCTATTCTACTCTATGTGGTTTGTGATGGATGATGCATGGTGGTGCAGGCTTCAAACCATATCAAGACGGCCGCGCATGCCCGAGGGGGCGTCCCCAAATGTCCATGCGACAACGAGTCTCGTTGGAGCATGGAACCTGCTGACAAAATCACGGCCATCAGCGTCGGCGCTTCTTCGTGCGTAAACTCCATTAAGATAACCTTCGACATCGACGGAACCACTCGCGTAACTCCCAGATATGGAGGCCCCGGCGGTGAACTATTCCAGGCATGCCTCTCCAACCTCCATTCGTCTATTCTATTCTTTTGCCTTCCCCTCGTACTAATAATACCTGCTATCAAACGCACTATTTACAACATATATAAATCACTAAATGTATCATTGCTCCAATTGCCTCGCAGTTTACTCTCATGCCGGATGAATACCTCACCTCCGTTTCTGGTTATGTCAAGCACGACTGTTCTGAATTCCCTTGTGTATCTCAACTCACGTTTACCACCAATCTTGGAAAGACATACGGTCCATATGGAGGTGGGGGTGGAACCTTTTTCGAAGTCAATGTAGAATATGACGAGATTAAGGGCTTTTTTGGACATGCAACTACCGAGTATCTCACTGCATTTGGAGTCTA